TCACTACTCTTGGCCAATTAATACGCATGCGAATCAAAAATCTATCACAAAAAAAAACACGTCCCATCAGATTATTCAATTGACTTTTGAGGCTATGTTCATGTTTTGAACCAATCGATATTGATACAATCTTACCCGTTTGATGTATCGAATACGATATATTGGACTGAAAACATGTCATCAAATCGTTTTTATAGTGGAACTTTCCATTCGGTGCACGATCTGGCGGCGTTGGATGGTGGTCTCGAAAACATGCTCTACACTCACCGCCCCTCCTCGATCACCCAGATACTCTTTTAATGGTGTACTTGGATTCGGGTGTCGTTCGGCGCGGTTCCATTTGTCAGGGGATGGGTTAATCGGAGCTCTGACGTCACCGCCAGCGTGATTAATTAAACATTGATTGGCTGATGATTATCGGCTGATTTCGTTCGCGGCGCAACAGCTGCACCCGGGGGCGCTTTCCAGGATTCGGGAAATATTTCCACGCTTTTGAACCTTTTCAATGAGAGAGGGGTAGAAAGGATCGTTGTCTCCGTTATTGGATGGGTTTGCAGAAAGGGTGAATCCTGAAAAATGGGAGGAATAACCTCGTTTCACTGAGTTTTTTAGGAATAGGTCTTAACTGGTTTTTCTGGATTAGATCAGTAAAATATCGGTGGGTCAACGCCGAAATATCAAAGCCATAAATACACATGACTTTTGAATTAAATTCAATAAAAACTTACAAAATTAAAAAAAAGGGCGAGAGAAGTCAAAACTTGATTACCTGTATACGAGAGGAAGTTTAGACGACTAGACGACAGGAAGTTTCCGACAAGATCTCAAAATCCCCAGACCAAACTCGATAAAACTTGCCTGACTATGAATGTTTTTCTCTGTGCACGTCATTTGCTGTGAACGTCAGTCTAGAAGTATCACTAGGCCGATGAAATAAAAACTGCAAAAACTTACGTTCATCACACGCACTTCATCTCTCTCTTCATTTTACATTCAGCGATTTGCGCTGTCGTCAACGTATTCCAATTCGCCGTTCCGAGGAAGAACGCTGAAGAATGTAGCCTCGGAAGTTGCCAATTTTCTTTCAAATTATCACAAATTCTCTGGGAAACTTGTGAAAACTTTTTTTTTTCAATTTTAAATGTAAACTACAGAGAGGTGAATGTGCAATTTTATCCTAAACCTTCCTCCCTTAAACCGCCAAATATTGCTATTCGAGAAAAATGCAAATATCGATTTTTTTTACAGTTCATCATATTTTTCTTAAAAGAAATCAACCTCTAATTTACGTGCCATCTTTGCCAAAACCACGGTTACACGAGAAATTGCGCAGAAATTTTGACGGACACCTCCTTAAGTGTAAAACAGTTTGCAAACAACTCACAAAACAATAAAGTTAACTGCCACAGCAGTTACCATAGCAATGTCAAGATGTAAAGCTAACTGCTGTGGCGGTTAACTCAGCGTTCTGTTAGTTGTCGCACACTTTTTAACATCCAGGATGTTAAGTTAGCATCCTTTTTTTCAGTGTTTTAACGTGCCAAACATTAGTTTTGTGCGATTTTACCCATGAGAACAATATTTATTCGGCTGTATCTCTTGCGTGCAACAGACCTAACTCTGAAAATTTGGTGGTAAGGGTCATATCCAAACACTGAAAAAAAGTAGGGTAACATTTACCATAAGTCTGCTTGATTTTTTACACAGTGATACTATGTATAGTGAAAATAATCAGAATTATAGTAGTATTTACCAGAACCATGACAATACTTACCATAATATGGTAAATGCTACCATATAGTCAGGTTTTTATTACCATACTCGTATCACTGTGTCAGAGGATGGTGACATCTACCATATTTTTTTTTCAGTGAAACAAACCGTTCAAATCGGCTTGGGCCTTCTCACAGGAGAGTGACGAAAGTCGTTTCATAAGCGTGGCCGGATGCGCAAAATGCAGGAACACCGTGGTGGAACTGTGCCTCCATTGTGTTTCCTGAAGCAATTTAACCTAATGTCGGGTCTCAATGACGCCAAGCGCACGCAATCTACGACCGCCGATCAATTAAAACTGATGAATGGCCGCTGACGTTTTTTGATTGATCAGGCGGATACCTTTTTAATGCTCCATCGCGGTGAATTGCGGTGAACGCCAAAGTGGGGACTCGTGAATCCTGCTCCTCCTCTCCAACCACGCCTATAGACGGATTTAGTGTGACGTCACATCTCGTTATAATTTCGATACCTCGAAAGTCGAAACGTGCCCCAACAAACGAACATGGAGGAATCTGCGGGATATAGGCAGGGGGGTAGGGGAATTCGCTCGATGACTGTCTATGATATTACGAGTTTATTTTACAATCAATTCTTGTGATTGTGATCTCAAACGTTTTGGTAAATGAGTAGCTTTCATAATTTTAAAGGCCCATGGATTAATTATTTGGTTTCAGGCTAGTTTCAGCATTATTTCGTCAATTGTTCATTTTGGAGGTTATGTTTGTTTGTTGGGGCACATTTCGACTTTCGAGATATCGAACCACCAATATCGCTCCGTGACGTCACCAATAAAATGGTCTATTACAACCCGCGATTTTGTTCGAGTGCGAAAAGATTCAGTTGTTTTAGAGAGGAACGTGAGTTTTGAACTATAAAGTTTTAACTTACAATATCGCTGATAATGGCGATGTTGCATGTGTGAGGAATTTGCAATTTGACCATTGATTCTTATGCAAAAGTTCGTGAGAAACACGATGGTGCCCTTGGTTTTCGCTTAAATCAACTCCGAAGCTCAAAAAAAGCTCTCAAAGTTGAGGGCGTAATGAAGGGGATATCCCACGCTATCCTGAGAGTCCACCCCTACATCAAGACAAACTCACCATGCCAGGATAGGGAGCACCTGCATTGACAGGGCTGCCACTTTATTTAGGGACTCCAAAACTGAAAACACGGCAACCCTGCTATATAATTATAGCAAAAGCTCACGGAACTCGGCCCGAAAGTTAATTTCCGTAAACCTATTTCTGTGTGGACAAGGCCTTCCATTTATATGAAATGAACGAGAAAATTATAAAATAACAAACATAAATGTGGTTTCATAAGCTTAACTTCCGCCGCCGCGCTGACCGCACTGTGTTTGGCACAATGCGTGAAGTATTCCTACAGTCTTGTGTGCGGTATGCGTTTCACGCCGACCGCTGCTCACCGCATTGTGTTTGACGCAATGCGTGAAGTATCCATGCAGTCTTGAAGGCGCTAATATGTGTTACATGCCGACCGCCGCGCCGCGCCGAGGGTTTCTCCTTTTCATCTCAAGTTCTCGTCATCGTTGCTCTCTGCGCCGCGCCGTTCCAGGCCAAATTCTGTGTTCGGTTTCTCTCTTAGTCTTAATTCGAATAATTAGAGGTGCTGTCTATTGTATCATAGAAAGACGGCAAAATTAGAGATATACTCTTGGGAAATGAGAGATTTTGTCATCTTTTCACGTTTGTATTTTTTTTTTCTGAATCCGATTTTTCTTTATAGCTATACATTTAAAAAAATTGCAAAATTTGCCGCCCTCTTTGCCGCCATGGGCCGCGGCTCCTGGTGCCACCCCTTAAATCCGGCCCTGGAATCAGTGAGAACGAAAACACACCGACTTGGTAACTCGAAAATACTCAATTTCTATTGAAGACAGTTATTTTACATTAAGGTCATTGAAGTTAGCGAGTCTGTTCCAACCTGGACCTTCAAAGTGGCCATAAGTTCTCGTCTTTCGGCAGCAAAAACCTTTTTCTTAAACTAACTTCTTCACCTACTGCGCAGTTTTGTGTGTGTGTCTTAATTATTTTCATTTTTCCGAGTTGGTGTGTTTTCGTTCTCACTGATTCAATTGACGATCCGATCCAACCGAGATTTCAAGACGCGAAAATCTCGGTGGCAATCGGATCTTTCAAAAAAAAAAAAACAGGACATCAATATTTTCATAATTTTCTTTACTGTGAAGCGCGACAAATCATCAGCGAAATAAGCTGATTTTTCAGTTTCAGGTTATATTTTTGTAGATTAATGAGCCATACATGTAAATTTGCAACGTCCAAATCAGAGAAATGCATTCTGCGACTTTAGCTACCGAAATAGGATGAAAAAAGCCGCTTCGAGCCCACAAATGGATGTATTTCTATCAAACGGAACTATGTGCATTAAGACATGAGCCTCGAGACCAATAAGAATATGTGCGTAACAGGGCTCACGTCATAATGCACATAGTTCCGTTTGATAGAAATACGTCCAAATACAAAGGAGAGAACCTAACGCCTTGATGCAACTATTCGAGCTTAACGGATGTGCGTACTGCATACGTACAAAATTGAAGGCGCTTCGGGTATCCTCTAGAAGCGGTAATGTGCGCTCATACAAGTCACTGTGCGACGAGTTCCAATCACTAGAGAGCTGCAATGATAGCAACCATAGTATGGGTAAGTCACGCCAAATCCTGTACGCCGGGGAGACTAAAAATAACCCCCGTCTTTTTTATGGTGCATCTGCAATTCTTGTGGGAGGGTGTGTGTGTGTGTCGTACTAGGTGGTTTTAAAATTTCCAAGGAGACACGTTACTATACTTTTTATTTCAGTGTATTTTACGAAATTTCAAATATCATCTCGACATTTTTCGTGCGCAACATCTTCAAGGTTTACTTAACACCAACCAGCAAAAAACCGCTCGGCATACGTCACAGAAAAAACTCTAACGTTTGTCTCATTTTTTAATCTCGTTTTTATCTGACAGAAACTGGGCGTATGAAACATTTTAGCACTTAAAAACTAGAAAAAGTTGCGCATGTTGCAAGCCTAAACTTTTGAGATTTGTAACCTCGGTTTGCTTCAAAATTTCTGGGGGATTTATGTGCCTAAATTTTGAGATTCCTCATGTCTCGAATTGTCCGGCACTGAGGCTCTCTCTTCTCGGAAGGTCATATTTCCAAAGACATTTTTTGTAATTTACAGAAAGAAAACAAAACTCCAATTTTGCCAGTTTATTTTTTTTACAAAGGAAACAAAGCTGTAAATCTCTTACAATAAGTACGAGTGACATCTAAACTCAGAATTTAGCAATATCTTAATCGGTTTGTTTATGACCTTCAGCTTAAATTATGTGTATTAATATATCGGTCAAGAAGCCAATGGAAAAGTTAACGAACTCGCACATAAACGGCACAGATATGAAAATACATGGGGTGATTTTGATACATAATCCGGATCACACTTTTATGAGAAAATACTTGAACGCAATTATTGACTGATTTGAACATTTTACTTCTTAACCTACTTTCTAAACATATTTGAATGCGACATAATCTTGTTTTTCACAAGATGATGAGAGTTTTTTAAAAAGTTGATCGATTAAAAAATATCCATGCTAGATTTCTGTTTCATTTTTCAAAGAATCAAAAAATGGATTAGAGAAATCTTTCTTCATTAAAAATGATTCAGATTTCAGACTGGTTCTTCCAACATTAACATGTTCCTTCGTTAGAGGATTATATCCTTCTTTCATGATTTTAATACTTTTGGTAAATACACCATTGATATTTTCAATCGGATAATTTTCAATTTTCGTTTTTTTCTTCAGTAACTCGTAAATATTACGAATATTTATATTGTTCAACTCCTTTTGAGAATAAAATTGTCTCGCAATTTGTTGAATTGAGTTTGTTTGACAGTCATAATAGTGTCTCCATAAGAGGTATTCGAAACAAGTAATTTGAGAATCGACATTAAACACTCTGCAGTCAAAAACTGAAAAATTAGACTTCATAAAATAATTAAAATAAGTCGAAACCTGAGCGGCGGTTAAACTTATTATTTTGTCCCTCCGTAAATTGAACAAAACATCATTTTTTGCCTCGAAGAAAATAAAGGAAATCTCGTCAGACTGAGTGTAAGACAACGTAGGTCTGTAGATACTGTGCATTTTTTCTTGCATTGATTTCATAGCGTCGGTGAAGTTTTTATCAAACGGTTTTTGCAAATTTTTAGTGAACTTAGTCCCACCTCTCATGTCACATCTGACAATTAGGAAGAACGGAGATAAAATGACCGACTCTTTTTCAAGTTGCTTGAATTTGTCTCCTAATCTAATACGATTAGGTCCGAAATGTTCCTCCAGTTCAATTGTAGGGGTGGTCATTGTTTGAATGGCTTAAGAATATTCAATAGACAAAAGTTGTGAACGAGCCAGAGGAATTACAATATCAAGCTCAATGAGATAAGAAACTTTTACCTACTATTTGCTTGATAAAAGTTAAACAAATAGTGCCCGGTAAGGCGTAAAATTAATTAAAATATCTCATTTATCATAATAAATTATTATTCACACTTGAAGCAAATTGATGCATCCTTACCTAAATTGCGAATTAAAGGATGGCGTAATAGGCACGAGCTGGTCAAAATTCGATGGGCATCATCCGTCACGTTGGACTTCCAGAGGCGATTGAAAAATCTAGAATAGAGCGGAATATTGAAAAAGGTTATGTATGTAGAACAGGAAGATATAAAAAGAACAAGATATTATGAGTACCTACGTAAAAAATTGGCAAGAAGAGAAGAAAAGGGGAAAGGGGGGATTTAGAGGGGCGAGGCAGGGAAGCGTTTTCATCCACTAAAGTTTCCCCATTCCTACTGTAAGGAAGTTGTAAGAAGATTCATAATTAAACACTTTTCTCCTTTTTTCCATCAATTTATTGTGCGCTTCTTCAACATAAGAAAAATACACATTGCACATAATAGATAAAATAAAGAGTATTTATAAACGACCGAGTAGATTATATTCTCTTTAAGATTTTAACTAAAAGAACCTATTGGTTCAGACCTGGAGGTTCGCCAGCTCCCAGGGCAAAATTTTCTCCTGACTATTTTTTAGATTCTTTTTTTCGTCACGCAAGAACGTTTCAAACTTACTAAATTCCTAAAGAAACATTTTGATCCGTAGATTAAGTTTTACTCACAACAAAATCGGAAAAAACAGAATGGTAGTAAATGAGGATACATTTTGTAGAAAATTACATGGCTCGGAAAATAAATTTGAAAAAATTCATACCAGTAAAATACCAGCACGTCACCTTCTGGCGTAGATGTGAGAGTGAAAAAAAATATTTAAATAAAGCGGGAAAATTGAGAATGAAAACACTGTCCCACAAATTAGACTAGGGTCAAGTTCAAACAGCGCGCCAAAATAAGATACGCAGTGGAAACATGTTTGGTTGGTAACACTTCACTAGTAGTCGGCGATCAGTTGAGTCTGATCCAGGTGAATTGAGGTTATGTTTAGATGTTGATTATTTTACCATCATGAAATAACCTTATCTGTAATTACCAATCTAATACGGAGTGTCGACCTACGATGTTCTGAAAATGTGAAATGTATTCAATGAAACGTACCTGCTGGAGGATTATCAAATAGGAGGAAATAAGAAGCATCCATGAGCATTCGTACGTTCAAGTTGCGTCATGCGCTCTAACACATCACTCGCCAACAGCGAATAGGGAGACACGAGACGTCAAACATCCATCCGTTTCGATGTCACACGCTTGTAAGTAAAAAAGTCGGAGCTCTGAACTTCTAAAAGGAAAAAATCCAATGATGGAGTACATTAAACCTTCACTGCGCATACGTTTACTATGTTTTGATATCCTGAGATTTTGCCTCAACTGCTGACGCAGGGTTGCCTCATTCGCAAACTGAAATTTTCCCACAATAACATTGTTAATTGAACTGAACTTATGTTTTATTCCATACAAGATTGCAACGTTCCGAAAACGCAAATTTTGATTTTACGCTTTTGGGGGTGATGAAAGCAGGAAATTGTTTGCGCAAAACGGGTGCCGCGAACCTGGGGATAAGGAAATATTAGAAATCTGATTGCAATGCGACAACTTCGGAACGATCACACTTATCGCATCTATCGATCACTACCGTATCATGGACACTTGGATCGCATTTAGCAAAAAGGAACCAGCGCGATTACAATGTTGTAAAATGTTGCTTCTTCATAATGATCTAAAAATTCTTTCAGAATGGCAAATAGTTTTTGCTCTCTTCCAAAAAATTGTTAATTTCAAAGGAAAATAATGGTGTAAATTTTACTATTGTACATAAATTTCGGATTTATAAAACAATGGAAGAAATTGCACGATTTTGAAAACACTGTATTCGCGCTGGCTCCTTTTTGCTGAATGCGATCCACTTTAGGAAAATTTTTTCGAGCGCTCATTCCAACATTTTACTTTTCGTCGAGAAGATGAAAAAAAGTGCTGTCAGAAATGTACATCAACCTTCGGCTCGTTCAAAATCCGGCGACGCAGGACCTGCGGCTTTTAGAAAAAATGTCCGACGTTATCAAATGCTTCAGAGTTATCGGACTTGAGCACCAGTCGGCTGTTTTATAAGAAATGACTCCATGAGGAAATACTTAACGGAAACCGCCCTGCTTCCATACAAAAGCATAGGTATGGCGATGCCAAAAAGCATGTGTATATGTTTCGTGTTTGGAAATTTACGCTTTTCGGTAACGTCTCGAATAGTATGGATATTTGTTAATATCTCAAGAACGATGGCAGGTTGACATACGATTTGGACGAAAATTTTTTCAATGAAAGTGGGAAAACTTTTTTGAGTGAGTTACCCCTCGTCGGGCTGGGGGTGCATGGCAACTTTCGAATCTCAAATGAGAATTCCCATTGTGTGATTTTTTGTTGAGATCATGAAAAACCAGAAGAAGTCGTTTTATACCACCGTTTCAAAATGGCGGCCGTTTACAATTTTAAATGATATCTCGGTTGTTTACTAGCCGATTTGATGTATTGCCGAAGCACATGTATTCCGATTGGGCCCAACATTTAAAGTGCTCTTAGTATGACGCATATTAGGTCACATTTTACGCGAGAATTTTATCAGGAAAAAATTTTGCTTCAGGGCGGGGAAGATGTAAAACTGGTCGATGTAAGGCATATGGACTTCTAAAAAATAAAAAATTACAGATACCCTGTACACGCTAATGAGGTACATTTCTCAACAAAAAACACATCTCTCTAAGCTTGAATTAACGTGAAAGTGAAGGTGCACGTACTTTTCAGGCTCGCATTTTGTGTGGGAAAAAATCCTGCTCTGCTTCCACAGCAATGAATTCAAAAACCGTGGAAAATTCGGAGTTTAATTTCATAGGTTGCCGATTGGCACGATAATATTAATTATAAAAATCGTTTCGCTCGCTCTTTCGTTTGTTGCTCTTGGCATCACTGAGTTTCAAGTCAGGTGTAGAGGGAGAACTTTTTCCATGATTTTTCGGGAATTAATGGAAAACACAATGCTTCCATGACGAGTAAACCAAGACAAGTGGTTCCATGTTTCCAGTTCCTACACACACTGAGCCAGTTCAGAAGTTTGGATATTCCAAAGTATTAACAACAACCGTAGAGAATGAGTGCTTTGCCATATTTTGGACTCCTTCTAGCCCTCGTCATCCAATCGGTGAGTGGAATTTGAAAAAAAAAGTAATTTAATTTCCAATTTTTCCATAGGGAAAACGTTGATTGTTTGGGAAAATCATAAAGGCACGTCAAGGAAAAAATTGTTAAATGGAATACGTGGTTTTGTTCCTATACAGATAACAAATTTTGACGGCCTCCCAAATTTTCCTCCGTTTTTTTTCGAGAGAGTTTTAAATTGCTCATTGTTAAATTGATGGGACTATCTAAGATGTATTCCTTAAATTGCTTCAATTAGGCACTAGCTTAGAAAAGACGATTAAACTGAGTACCGTTTATTCTGAAATTGCAGCATATTCAAAATTTTCTACATTAATTCTTACTGTGAAAATCTTAAATATTCAAATTTTAAAATTCAAATTTAAATTAAATATTCAATTTTTTACTTGAGATACACAAATAGGTACCTTATAGGTAAGATACTTTTTAGGAATAGGTAGTTGCAGAAATAGGTCTTGACTGGTGTTATAATATTGTCGCTCCTCTGGCGTAAAGGGCGTATCTTGATTGGACGTATTTCTACCAAAGAGACCTATGTGGAGGTGAGAAACATGGGGTGTGCTCGTTAGTTCTCTTTGCGTAAGAGTGAATGGGAATAATAAAGCGCCAGTGACGTCAGCGGCAACGAAGGAGCTCCGGAACGACGGGAGTGTCGTTGGCGGGACTCTTTAACTCATGAGCCCTGTCCACAACGCTCTCTTGCCATGCCCGCGGCTCATGAGTTCCACATTCAGTTGCCACATAGGTCTCTTTGACAGAATGTAAAATCCCGCTTTCCAATTTTTCAACAGGAATCACGCCCACTTTTACATTGCTTCTTATGCAGCTTCGACGAGCACACCCCATATTTCTCACCTCCACATAGGTCTCTTTGGTAGAAATACGTCCATATGGAAATCTACATACGCCCTTTACGTCAGAGAAGTGACGATATGACGCACGAGCATCTCTACGTTGCAGATGCATGAAAATGTAACCCTCTGTATTTCACAAGTTCTTCAACTGACTACAAACTGTGATTCTGCGAAAGTTAAGGGGAATAAAAATCTTAGAAAATCCTGCAAAAAATGGGAATCGAAGAGGAAAAAATTAATAAAGGCCACCATACACATTTCCTTGTGCTACACGCACAACGGTGGTTGTTGCAGGTTGGAGGCACTATTTCTCTTATTTTGAATTCATAATATAAGTAACCATTCCTAAGTAAGGCTGCCCGCTTATATCAATTGTTTTACATGCGTTCGAATGGGAGGAATCCATCCACCCTGTGAGTGGCCGACCATAAACCGTCACCCATTTTTCTCGAGTATTTGATTTTTCCGCTCACCCTTTGTCAACTACATACATATGTCACTCATCTCCAGACCCCCCCCCCCTAAAAATTACGTCATTTTAAGCGCATCTCCCCCTTTTTGTGTAGGTGTAGGGTTGTTGCAAACCTTTGCCACAGATGTATTAGTCACACATTGATTTACATGTTAAAAATGGTTCGAAAATAACGCTGAGCCCATAGGATAAGTATAATATTTACTCCTATTCTCAAAATGAATGTTTAAAGTTTCACTCAGGGTCGGAATGACTCGCATCTGAGGGTGCAGACCCTTTGGCCGGTTAAAGGGGCGTAATGTGATCTTTCCTGGTGGGGTATCCCCTACGAAGAGAGGAGTTGAGAAAATTTTGGCAATGCAGCAAGAGTTTACGCTATTTTCAGGTTCAAAGTTTATTAATATATCGCAAGGAGTAAAACTTGCAAAATTGAACGTATTGAAGTAACCGACAGACATCTGAAATTAAAGGAAACATAAAAAATTAGAGCTACTAGGACGTATCCAAGCACCATTATTTCCAAAAGAACCCAGCCAGTGCTGCGGTTTACACGAGCCTAAGGCGTGGGTCTGCAAATCCATCCTGAAAAAGAGTCAGACAAGAAACTGAAAAAAGAAGAAAGAACGAGTATCAACACAGCTGAAGACAGGAAAGACGTATTCGGGTCTCTTCTTTCACTTTTCTTCCGAATCTGAGCGACACCTCATTGACAGCATATAGCAGAGAATTGAGAGCTCACGCTTCGCGACGTCGCGCCTTCAATTTTTCAGATGCAGCACGGACGTCCATCGAGTACGAATAGTTGTATCTCTGCGCCGTCGTAAACGCGCATCCTTTCCCTCCCTCTATTTCCATATTGTGTTTGTTTGCGTTTGTCCTATTCGTAATGGTGCTTCAAGCACTACGTTAGTAACATAGCCGAAGGTAGGAGGAATGTGTTCGGGCCTCTTTTTTGGCTTTTCTCCCGAATCTGAGCGACACCTTATTGACAGCATATAGCAGAGCACTGAGAGCTCACGCTTCGCGTCATCGCGCCTTCAATTTTTCAGATGCAGCACGGACGTCCATCAAGTACGAATAGTTGTATCCCTGCGCCGTCGTTAACGCTCATCCTTTCCCTAGCTTTCTTTCCATATTGTGTTTGTTTCCGTTTGTCTTATTCTTAATGGTGCTTTAAATCAGTAGCATAGAGCAGAGCTATGCGAGTTCACAACTCACGCCTTCGCGTCTTATATTTTTCATATGCCACGTGGACATACATGTTGCGCGAATAGTTGCACCTATCGCGTATACACTTCAGATGCCTCTCAATTTTGAATTTCGAGATGATTTAAGGTTAAGTTTGCCCAACACATGCTATGATATGTCAAAATCAATAGTCATTTTGAAAAGAAGAAATATGCCCAAAGGTCTCTCGAGAGGTCTATACAGGACGCGTGTGTCTAAAAATCGAACCGACAATCGCTTTTAAGGGAGTTACACATAGTGAATGAAGGAGCGGGATGATAAAGCACCTGTATGTCAACAAAAAGGTGAACATTTTACAGAAAAGTGTTTACGCTTTAGAAAGTAGTTCTTGAACCTCTGTTCACCATTATCACCATTCTGACTTCATTAGTGACCATTATATAGCATCCCGTAAAATCCAAGATGGCATCGAAACCCCGTCAGGAATATGACGCGAGGCATGACGCAAAAGTGTGATCCTCACGAGAAAAAACACACCATGCGGTGTGGACCCAGTACCATTTCTCTACCTTGTTACTTAACGAAAAACACACACAGTAAATGGATAAACGGCTACAATACACACAAAACTACTGAGACGTTTTGGGATGGCTCTCACCCCTTTGTTAACCAGGGAAAAAAACCAAACAAAATATAATATTCATAGTTCTGATATTTTGCATTTTTATTTCCTGGTCGATAAAGGGGTTGAGAACACCCCAAAACGTCCCAGACATTTTGGGTGCATACTTTTCCCGTATACTCCCATTTATGATTTCGTTCATTTTTCGTGTAATCTGTAGATAAAGCCGAACATTTTAACACCCCCCCCCCCAATAGAAAGAAATTCCCTGAAATGTGTGAATGCCCTCCAGAAGACCAAAAATAAATAAATAAATAAATAAATCAATAGAAAAAAAAATTGGATTTTGCCCCTCTAGCAGAAATAAATTCCAATGCGTCTTCCAGATGGTCGCAATGGACCCAGGTGGGCAGGAGCGGCGACCGCAGCGCAGCCAGTCAGTTTTGCAAAAAATGAGGAACGTGATCCGTGTGGCAGACTCGGATCCTTGCCTGGACCTCGGCGAGCAGAAGATTCAGCGGAAAAATTGGGAAGAAATAGCTGAAAAGTCCGCCCTTTGTCAGGCTGCGTTTGATGACCTCATGTCACTGCCGGACGACCTGAAAGGCCCTTGTTTGGGCGCCTGCCGGGCAGAGTGTCAACTCAAGAAGAAGTAAGTACAACACTATGCAAGTATACATCGTCGTTCACCAGTGGCGATTTTCTCTAATCGGCGAGACTTCCTTTCTCATTTGGACGTATTTCTGCCAAACGGAGCTGTGTGCATTATGCCGTGAGCCCCGTTACAGATGCATTCTTATGGGTCTCAGGGCTCATGCCTTAATGCACATAGTTCCTTTTGACAGAAATACGTCCATTTCAAATTCAAAATTTTCAGTAGTGTATTGGCTTTTTTAAGCCTTTTTTTAAAGTGTATCGGCCTAGTAACTAACTTTTATGTCCACACAGGAAGTCAGGACAATGGTTCCAGTGCACGGTATTGAAACCGTCCCATTGCTTTTGTACTCCATCTACGAAGCCTTTTGCGTTTTGTGCCTCGAGTGTCGCCCTTGAGATTCAACGGAACCAAGATGCTCCAGCCCCTGGAAGGACACTTTACCAGGCATTGAGCGCCAATCGCCGAGGAGGCGGCGGAGCCAACTGAGATCCAATTTCAAATCGCATTGTTAAAGTCATTTCATTTCTTTTTTATTTATACGAAGCTTCTCTATTTAAAATTATACATATTTTCGAATGACATAATAAAAAGAAATGACTTAACTGACTCATTGTGCCCCCACAGTCATGCATCTAATTACGCATGCAGCCACACTCTTCGAACACGATGAACATTCTTCATGATAAAAAAATCGAATATTTTATTTTCCAGTGTACACCTCCATTTGTTGATATTGTTAGTTTTAACGCGACAGTTGTGCATGTCATTTGCTCATAATAACATGAGTAAAGTACGTCACTGAATTCTTCAATGGAAGATTACCCCGAAAAGCACTTACCCACTTCATGACGAGTTACTAAAAGCTGGTATTAACAATTTTTTTTGCCATAAGTTTTGAAGTTGATTGGGCCTGTAAATTTAGTTGTCAGTGAGAGCATAACGTTGGGGTTGGGAATACAATACTCGCTTGATTGTCAATGCTGCAGTGCTAAGGAAAAACGCCGCATGAGCCTTTAGACATTGCCATATTTCCTTCCCTAAAAACCGACTTTACTGGGAAAATTTTGAATATTTTTCTCTACATTTTTTAGACGAATTTGTTCGCAATTTCAGCTCAAATATTTGCAAATTTAAAATAAAAAAATGTGAATAACTCCCTTTAAAAATACGTGTTTTACCTGGGAACATTTGGCAACTCTCGAATGTTCATGCGGGGTTTTTCTTTAGCACGGTAGAATGGACCTGTAAATTTAGTTGTCAGTGAGAGCATAACGACGGGAATACAATTCTCTCTTGATTGGCAAAATTTCACCTATGGATGTAGATTTTTACTGAACATGCTAAAACCCCGCCCGTGTGACACACGTCCATTTACTCACACACACTTGCGTACAGGAGTAAACAAGGGAAAAAAGTTATTTCCTGGGTAATTGACACTTTGCAAGGACCCATGACACAATGGACACACTTCTGCAGAAAGGAACAACGTGTCGATAAAATAAATTAGCAAGGAATTTTATAACTAGAACGTGTGCGTTTTATGGCTCTTTTTAACTTACATCCATCGCAACATAGTTCTTATTAGCATAACTACATCCATCTGAGTTTTTGTTGGAGTCATTCTGTCGCTCTCCAGTCGAAAGAATGTAACTTTCTTCCAAGGTTGCAAAATTGATCCATATAAATCCATTTTTTACACACACAAACACACCCTCTCACAACTCACTTACACAAAAAGAAGAAGAAGAAGAAAAAAATATTGCTGTTTCCGTTCAAATTTTGCTGATTTTTGCTTGTGATCGAGAGTGAATTTTGTGTAATTTTCCATTTGAAATTCCTAATTGAAATCTAGTAGATTGCTTACCACGCTGTCATGCTAAGGAAGAACGCCGTATGAACATTCGAGAGTTGCCACATTTCCTTTGATGAAATGTTTATTTTTGAGGTTAATTATGAATAATTTTTCTGGAAATTTTCAGGAACTTTAGATCAAAGTGCGATCACAATGCTCTAAAAAATTGGAAGAAAAATATTAACAAGTTTACCAGGGTATTTGTGTTTTATCAAAGAAAATTTGGCAACGCCTGAAGGTTCATACGACGTTTTTCATTAGCACGGCAGCTAACATTAGCGATGAGCAAGCCAAACAAATTTACGAGGTATGATGTGAATATGGAATGCAGAGATCAAGAAATCGGAAAATTATGAGTGGATTTTACCGGTCTTGAGAGCGAACGTAAATTATAATTTATGGCGTGATTTTGGAGGAAAATAGAAAAAAATTTCTAAAACGTGGAAATCTCTAAATCTCTATTGTCTGGAATGATGCCTGATGTTGATGGTGCTTATTTGTCTATTCCCTACGTTGGAAATTCGGACGATACTCGGAATATGAGCTATTAACACACGTGTTCATGCCGAATTGATCTCAGAGTGAAATGTCACTATGACGTTTATTGCCACTAGTTTCCTCATAAATCTACACTTCCATAGCTGGACTTCACAACACATACCTCAAAAGCTGTGGCGTGTCGAGACTTTTGACAATCGGTGGCTATGCTGGACAAATAGGTGTCTTCGATGCGTTGCTTCTCTGACGTAATGGCGTGTCTCTATCCATGTGGGCCCTGAAAAGCATTGAGTTATATGGAGAGCAGGCAGAGGCGGATCCAGCAATTTGGCAACACCGAATCTCCTCCATTTAAACCCATGTTAAATTATCGATTCTTGCCGGAGCACCTGGCCCCTACAAGAATCGATACATTTCCATACGTTTAAATAGGGAAAAACAATGTTGCCAATTTGCCAGATCCGCTAATGAGAGCAGGGTTCACGTGGAAATCGAGATATGCGCTCTCACGTCTGGAAAACGACGCATTGTGACCTTTGAAATCTCCGATCATGCTTTATTTTTATGAAGATAACTAATCGACGGGTTTTTTTCCAAATTTTCTATAAATTCTCTCCATGCATTTAAGAGTTCGCGCAGGTAGCTTTTAGAGATATTTTGATCGGTTTTTTTCGTCAATTTTTTTTCTTTAATACATAATCGGATGTTTTTAAACGCTGCGATGGATATTTACGCATTTCGTCACTTCAGCCTCTAACATATTTCACTCGTCAAGAGGAATCAATCAACATTTTAGCTTAAAATGTCCACATTTAAATGCCGGGATAGCAAGGAGAAATCAAGGTTGGTACCATGCCATTTTAAGGATTTATTTATTATCCCCTGAAAAATGAAATATGCGCGAAATGTTTTAAATTTAGCAAAGATGAGTTCAATTTCTAGAACAGACTGTGCAGAACAAAGCAGGGGAGGATCCAAAAATAGATAAAAGATTCGGCTTTTTAATAAAAAAGAAGGTTTGAAAAGATTTCTTTACTTTTCTTTCAACAAAAGAGAGAGGATTCGAAGCGACTTGCAACTTCGTGATCGCAGAAACAAATTCTTAAAGTTTACCCATGGAAAGTGATTTGACATGTTACATTTGCAAGCTTAGCTATCGGAGTATCTTTCGCTAATCTCGTGCAATTTATCGCACGGCGCAAAAAAGTGTAAAAAAAACTGCACCTTAAAATGCCGTCTGCCGATGACTAAAGAAACTGATTGCCGTGAATAGAGCTCGACCTTTCAAGAACCCCGTTGTCTTTTCGTGCAATTTTCCAAGACATTTTTACATTTTTTTTGTTCATACGAAGTGCCTTGTCAGTCCTAGATTGCGGCAGCTGCTGCGCAAGGCCGCATATTCAAAGTAAATTTGCACTTATGTTTCCATTTTTAACCTATTACGGGCCTCAGTTGACCCTTTGGGGCTAATGGCCGCCCTTTGCTCTGCCATGCATAGCGCTTTGTCTTACAGAAGTTGCCAAAATTACTGTGATTGACGATAGGCTGCGAAAGAAGATGCTTGATTGGATTTCTCCTGGGAGGAGATGACGCAAAAAAGGACGCTCAAGGGTAGCGATAAATGAAACTTTCGGGTTTTAAATGAAACTTGTCGCACTATTTGCTATGTCACCGCTGTTGCCTATGCTGTGAAATTAAAGGCGAACCTCGAGTTGACGATATCTGCAAACATGGAGACGAGGCATTGGAAAAATACTCGTAAGATTTTTACAAGTTCACAGCGACTCTTGATGTTGAGTAAATTAATTGAGATAAACCCTGTCGCAACATAGAGGCAAAAAATGAGGTGTTTGCATTTCGGGCATCTTGGACTTTTTCGATGATGTAGATAGGTACGGCGACTTTTATCATCGATTTTCTTGGAAATGGTGTAGTTTATGGAAAAAAAAATCGAATCTCCTTCAAAAATCTTTTAAGCTAGTTTAAATGAACTCACTGATTCAGCTAAAACAGCAAACTTCGTTTTATTAATGCAAAGACAATTTCTACGATAAGGCAGTAAACGCGCGAAAATTGGCATCGTTGAAGGCAATATAGCAGAAATGGACCATTAGGTATAGTCTGAAGTTATAAGCATTATGATACACCGTCTCATAACCATAATTCCACGTAAAACAAGATTCCTGCACCGACAATTACTGAAATCATTACACGAAACGCATGTATCAGAATTCTTAAAATTGTACCTAGTCTAGTAGTCCATTGCACATATTCCGCAAGAGAGGCTGCTGTCTTGACAGCCGCCCTCTTGCAGAGTTAAAAAAAAATTACAGTCCTCTTTTTTGCCAATTTCTAATTCAAACTTTGTTTTTTGTAAGTCTAGAATGTAACTCCAGAAGCACGCAGAACATGACTCTCACCGCTGCCTTGCCAAATTTGATATGACTATAGTCTTTATTTAACAGTTGAAACTGAATTTAGTCAATTGTTGACCATACAAACAGACTCTGAGTCGTTTGAATGATTATTGACAGTTACACGATGATCAGTGGATTCGTTCTATACAATTGTCCACTCAAATGCTCAAAAACGCGGAGGACGATAACCGTTTTTCGGTATTTTTTTTAAACAGTAGTGCAGTTTTTTGGTGAGCGAATCTTTCATCTCAACGGTGCTCATATTCTCCGGGGAACTTATACTGCCGTGCTAAGGAAGAACGCCGTATGAACATTCCAGAATTGCCAAATCGCCCCGGATAAAACATGTATTTTTGAGAAAAACTATGCTTATTTATCCTTGAAAGTTTCAGACATTTTAGACAAAATTGCGAACAAAATTGTCTGAAAAAATTGAAGAAAAACATTCACAATTTACCCAGTAAATAGGGGTTTTATTGAAGGGAATGTGGGAATGTCTGAAGGTTCATACGGCGTTTTTCCTTATCACGGCAGTATAAACGCGCCTACAAAAAATTTAGCTGAGCGCCTCTCTAATACGAACGTATTAGAGCTTTCCTGCTCGTTTTTCTATTCGCACGAAGTGCCTAAGCAATCTTAGATTACGTCATCTCCTACGCAAGGCGAATAAGCTCGAATCGTTTTTGCACTCATTTTCTCGACCTTGACGTATTTTCAGTCCCATTGGACGTATTAATACAAAAAAGAACTATGTACAACTGACTTGAATCAAAATGTACTAATGTACTGTGTGTGCAGAATTTACTTGTTTCATAGTTCTTTTTGATTCATGATATTTGCGTG